CCTGCAGGAAGATATGGTAAAATATTTCCAATATGCAATAACAATGCCTCTAAACTCAATGTTGAACTGTCTATAAACAATCTCCATTCTTCTGGGTTATAGTTTATATTTAAAGCCGCCAGTAAGCCGTTAATGTTACTGCAGAAAACCAAGTTATTCTCCATATTGAAAAATGGTTCTAAGTATTTGTGGCGTTTACGAAAAACACATACCGAAACATCGTCCTCTAACAAGTTCCACTGCTGCAGTCTTGATCCAAGTAACTCTGCCTTACATTTTGGAAGTTCTAAATCTCTTACAAGATCATTTAATTCTGTGTTATTTTGTGCGGTTGGTGACATGACATGCTCGGTATAAAATCAGGATCTCTCGACGTTGATGGCATATCTTCTTCCTGACGAATCACTCGATCGCCATGATCTGATTCGTTTTCTGATTCGCAAGTGTAGGATTCTGGGGGTTTTGGAATAGGATTTTCGTCACTGTGAGGCACAGGTCTCATCGCAGATGGTATGTTTGGGTAGTTAATAACCGATTTTTTTTTCTTGGACATACCTGTGGCTTGTCCAACACAAGGTACCATGCAAAAGTAACAATCATTAATATGATTTGTAGGCTCTCTCCAAACCATTGGGACAGCAAAGCGCATAGACCGTTTTTTGCCATTTTACCAGCTCCTCAGACTTAAAGCACATGTATTACAGCAGATGTGGGGTGCTCACTGTTTGTCTTGATCACCTAGTTTACAACCGAAATAAAGCTGATATGCCTTTGTTATTAGTGGAGTAATAGACCGTCTCTGAGACGCAAAAGTCACATCACCACACACGTAACAAAACTGATCTGGATTGTTTACACACTTTCGAGACATCTTGCATGAACGCTGTCAGCCAACTGAGGAAAAAATGGCTAATATAAAACAATATAATGTACACATATATATATAACGTAACACAATCATGCCGATTACATCATCTTTCCTTGCCGAATATAAAAATGTAGCACGTGCATTCTTGTGAATTACAGTATATTAACACTGTCACAGCAGGAACACATATAATTACCGTATCTCTAAAACTTGAACTAATATTGAAAAAATAAGTTTCATTCCGGTTTTAGCACATTAAAAATAGTAATATTTTGTTGATTTTATTTAGGATATTTTTTGGCTGTTGATCAGTGATATTCACTACTTTCAGAGTGTACAGGGTTTGTCCGGAAAGTAATAGGACTGAGTCGATTTAAAAAAATTTATTGAGCCAATCGTTACAATTCTTTAAAAACTTCCAAAATAGGCTCCTTCTGCGTCGATGCTGCACTGCCAGCGCGATTTCCAAGCATTGAAGGCGTCACGGAAGGCATTCTCCGGAATAGCCTTGCAGTGCATGCTGCTTGGATCCCCTCTGTCGTCTTAAAATGCTTGCCCTTCGTCGGCCTTTTCAGGCGAGGAAACAAAAAAAAGTCAGGGGGGGCCACATTTGAGCTGTACGGCGGCTGCGGGAGCGTTGGGATGCCGGCCTTGGTCAGGTAGCTGTTCACAAGAAAGGCGGTGTGAGCCGGGGCATTGTCGTAGTGCAACTTCCAGTCGGCTGCGATGTCTTGTCGGACCCGACTGACCCTTCGTTTTGAGTCTCCTGAGCACTTCCACGTAAAACTTGGCGTTGACGGTTTGTCCGGGAGGAACAAATTCATGGTGGACGATGCCTTTGATGTCAAAAAAGACAATGAGCATCATTTTCACTTTGGATTTGCTCACCGGGATATAAATAATGCATTTGAGTACTTCTTTCGAGTGTTTGACTATCACTTCCAAATACATTTTCCACTGCGTAAATGTCTGATTAAAGACAACAGCAAGAAATGGGTCGATGAAAATGTAAAGTTGTCGAGTTCATGCTTGCGTGAACAGCATATGTTGTCAACAATTATCCCTGAGTACAGACAACATTATCTAGATGCAAAAAAACAACATCAGAAGCTTGTCAGAAAAACAAAAAAGGCATATTATCAACAAAAAATATCCAATTCGCACAACGTGATGAAAGCTGCCTGGAATGTGGTTTCTGACATAAACGGAAGAAATAGAGTATCAAAGAACATTGTATTGCTTGATAATGGATTAACCATTAGAAATCCACAAGAAATTTCTATTTCTTTTAACTACTATTTTAAACAGCCTCCTTTGGATATTATTCAAAAAATATCTAAGGATACAAATCCAGTTCCAAGTGATCATACCTGCGACCAAAAATCTTTTATGTTTCTATACCCGTTCTTGGAGGAAGAATTCTATAAACTAATTAATGATAAGTTAAAAAACAAGCGTTCTTCAGGCACCGATGAAGTTCCGAATTTCTTAGTCAAGAAAATATTATTGTACATAACCAAACCTTTTGTTTTTCTAGTTAATTTATCATTCTGCACTGGTGTATTTCCAAACAACCTGAAAACAGGAAAAGTAACTCCAATTCATAAGAAAGAAGATACTTCTTTGGTTAGCAATTACAGACCGGTGACTGTTCCATGCTGTTTTTCCAAGATTCTTGAGTATTGTTTTTTAGATCGACTTCTGCTGTTCTTGGAAAGCAATGACACTCTATCATCCAATCAACATGGTTTCCGTATTGGAAAATCAACCATGACCGCATGTCGTTCATTTATCAACAGGTTAGTCTACTGTATCGAGGCAGGAGAATGCCCGGTTGGGATATTTTGTGACCTCAGTAGGGCGTTCGATTGTGTCAGTCATGACATACTATTAGCCAAACTAACAGACTATGGAATTGGTGGTTCAGCCTACCTGTGGATAAAATCGTTCTTGCAGAATAGGTCACAATTCGTGGCAATAACACACAACAACGCTGGTCAACTGAAGCAGGTCAAATCGGGTATGGTTAACATAAATATAGGCGTACCACAAGGATCTATATTGGGGCCAGTGCTGTTTTCCCTTTATATAAATAACCTGGAGCAATGTTTTCCTGAAGCACATTTCACGTTGTATGCAGACGATGCCTCCATCATTATATCAAATAAAGACGAGGCTGATTTAATAAATAAATGTAACACCTTAGTGTACAACATCAATAGCTGGTTTGAAGAAAATCAGTTACTTCTTAATAGCGAGAAGACCACAGTTATAAGGTTCCATAACATTCAAAAGTCGATACCAGCGATTCAGCTTGTTCTGAACGGTTCAGCACTGCAGAGTGATAAAAGCACTAAGTTTTTAGGGCTCCACTTAGACCAATGTCTCAACTTTAAAGGACATTGCGATTATCTAATATCAAAAATAAATTCACAGGCATATTTATTCAAGAACCTGAGATCTGTTTTCACAGAGAATCAGCTATTGATGTTGTATCATGGTCAGATTGAGTCTCGCATGCTGTATGCTTTGTGCTTCTGGGGTTCATCGGTGAACTCTTCTAAGGTGTTCCTAAGTCAAAAACGGCTGGTGAGGTGTATGGTGGGAGTAAGCAGCACTTATAGTTGCAGAGAATTATTCAAGAGATTAAAAATAATGAGACTGCCTTCGCTTTTTCTCTAGAATATGGCTATCTATACTTTTTTAAACAAAGACGATTTCACCTTGAATAGTCATATACATCAAATGGGCACTCGCAGACAAAACGACATCCATATACCTTTTGCGCGTTATAAGTTAGGCAGCAGATCACCATGTATTTTAGGTCCTAAAATTTTTAACAACCTTCCTGCCTTTATAAAAAGGATCACCTCAATAGGCCAATTCAAAGCTGAGCTGAAAAGCTACTTTATAAGTAACTGTTTTTATGCAATTAGCGACTTTGTCAGTTTTTAGATATCGTTTTTTATCACTAATTTTAACTTGTTTGTTGTTGGATGTTATTTGTTTGTTTTTTTATTTATTTATCTACTTTGTAAATATTTACTTATTGTATCTTTTTGACGAAACCTATACATGTTCATGCATGTCTAATGGAAAATAAATTCATTATTATTATTATTATTATTATTATTATCCTTCCCTTTTTTGGGCGAGGAGACGCCGTCGTGTGCCACTCGGAAGATTGCCTTTTTGTCTCGGGATAATACTCAAAGATCCACGACTCGTCACCTGTGATTACATTATTCAAAAATTGGGGGTCACTTTCACACATGTTCAAATTTTCTTGGCACTCTTCCACTCGCCGTAATTTCTGGTCGTCAGTGAGCACTTTTGGGACCATCTTCGCGCACACCTTGCGCATGTTCAAATGCTGTGTCACAATATCATGAACCACAGATTCTGGTAGATTTAACATCTGGGCAATTAAACGAATACTTAGTCGACGGTCTGAGTTCAAAACATTGCGCACACGAGTCACATTATCGGTGTTTATCGAAGTCGAAGGTCTTCCGGCACGGTCTTCATCAGCGACCTCTTCCCGGCCCTCCAAAAAAGCCTGGTGCTACCGAAACACAACACTTCTTGCTAAAGCAACACCTGGGTAAGCCTGCTTGATCATATCAAACGTCTCTGTCGCAGAGTTACCGAGTTTCACACAGAATTTAATCGCGTACCTCTGCTCTAACGAACGCTGCAATTTCGGCTTGCACCACTCACAAAAACACGTGCCGCGAAAATGCCTGTCGTGACTCTCCAAGTGCTCGGAGACAACTGACCAGCCGCTCATTCGTTAGCTAGGAACGCCCTCTACCGAAAATGAGTCCTATTACTTTCCGAACAAACCCTGTATAAATAAAAAACGGCTTAGTTATCACTAACATTGCGATCCTACTGTGATTTTCATCGCGGTACGATCGCCATCCACGATGGCGAAAGTAGAGAAGCTGGCGAGCCAGCTGAAGCAGAAAGAAGAGAATTTTGCAATGCTTGCTGAGCAGATGAAAAATCTGCAAGAAGCATTTGAGCGGGCGAGGGATGAAATCGATGAGGTGAAAAGGAAGCTCCTCAAAGCAAAGAGGAAAGCTAAGAAGACGGAGGAAGAAGAAGAAGAAGAGGACCACGGAGAGGAGGACCAGCAGCCTACGGAGAACTTGGACATGGATGCCCAAAATATCGACGTAGAAGAAGCGGAGAAGAGGACGGACGACACCGATTTCAGTGTCGCCACCAGACGGAGGAAGCGGGTGCGAGTTTCCTCCTCCGAAGAAGAAGAAGAACCCAGGCAGCGAAAGATGCCAGCTGCCACAAAGAAGAGTGGTCCTAGAGCAACCAGGACCACCGAGGCCCCCATGGCAGGAACAGGAGTTCCGCCAATCAACATCGAGGGCACCGCTGATTGGTCATCCTTGAGTAGGATGATGAACAGCAAGGGGATTCAATTCTCCAAAGCGAGGACGGCGGGTACCAGTGTGAAGGTATTCACAAATACACCAGCTGACTACCGTCAGCTAGTCGCACTGCTTGAATCCATCAAGCGGCCCTTCTTCACATATCAACTGAAGGAGGACAGGATGGACCAGAGGGTCATTCGTGGGCTTCCGAGAGAGATGTCAGTCAATGACATCAAAGAGGATCTGGTGAGCCAAGGCATCGCAGACGCCGTGGTTCAGCAGCTGACCTCAAGGACCACAAAGAAGCCACTTCCGCTCTTCCTCGTCAAGACGAAGATGCCGGAAAAGCTTGCAGAGATCCAGAGGCTGGCCATGCTCACGGTCAGCTTCGAGAGGAAGAAAAAGTCTTCCGAGCCCAGCCAGTGCTACCGCTGCCAGCGGTACGGGCACACACAGCGGAACTGCCGTCTCGCTGAACGGTGCGTTAAATGTGGAGAGGACCACAACAGCACCAGCTGCAGTCTGCCAGCGCCGCCAACAGGGCAACGAAACGCCAAGTGTTGCCTCTGTGGAGAAGGCCACCCCGCCAACTACAAGGGATGTAGTAAGGCGCCGAAGAAAGCTGCTTCTGCCCCCAAAGCAGTCCCCACCACAAATAGGACTTCTTACGCCCAAAAAGTGAAGAAGCCTATGTCCACTTCTGCCCCAGCAGCCGCCACTGCTACTGGAACTACTGCGCAGAAGCAACACGGCGATGACAGACTGCTAGCAATGATGCAAGCCATCATAACCCGCCTGGATGCACTCGAGGCCAAGATGCAAGACAAGCACTAGACCCGAAATGTCTACAGGTCAAAACGTAGAATCTCTACGCATTATCTCCTGGAACATCAACGGTTTCAGGGCACGGAAACCAGAAATCCAGGAGATACTAGACCAGTACCAACCAGAGGTGATGGCTATCCAAGAAACGAAGTTGGATGCTGCCCATAGTCTGACGTTCCCGCGGTACGAGACGTACCGCTACGACAGAAGGGGCAGAGGTGGAGGAGTCGCATTACTCGTCAAACGTACCTTGACGAGTCATGTCCTCGACGATGCCGCAGACATAAATGGGGACGGAATCACGGTCCAGGTCCATCACAACCACCGTCCCTACAGAATCACCTCCCTATATGTGCCACCAGGGGAGGCCCTAGACGAAGATGACATCGCGGACCTCCTGAGAGGCCCAGGAGCACGCATAGTCATCGGAGATCTAAACTGCAAGTCTCCGGCTTGGAACAACAACGTCGAAGACAGAAATGCAAGGCAGCTCCAGGAACACGTCGATGCCCTGGCGGGGGTCATCGTCGGTCCGGAGCAACCAACCTACATTCCATTCGGCATTGGGCGACCTGCGGTACTGGACATAGCCATCCTCCGCAACATCAGAGAGGAGTTCGAGATAGAGACCCTGGTGGAAGGATCGTCGGACCACAATCCGATTCTACTAACACTTGGTACAGGGTCTAGAACTCGAGATAGCTTGAGCACCAAACGGACGAACTGGAACCTTTACAAATCCAACGTCCAGAGGAACATCACTCAAATTCCAACCATCCGATCAGCGGAGGAACTGGACAACGCAGTAGAGGAGCTGGAGAATGCTGTCCTGCGAGCGCACGAGGACAGCACCCGCTCCGAGACTACGGCAGTTCCTAGATACCTAAATGGTCCAGCACCGCACCATATTAGGCACCTGATCAGGGAGAACAGAAGACTCAAGCGAGAACATCTCCAGCTGTTGACAGAGGAGTCGAGAGTTGCGCGAAACAGAGCATCGTTAGCTCTGAAGAACGCACTCGCGGAACTCCAAAACAACAGATGGAATGCAGCCTGTGCAGAACTAGAGACCCAGGATGGTACGGCCTGGTCTATGCAGCGAAAATTTCGTCGTCAGCGCACCACGATCCCCACTCTTCACGGCCAACGCGGCTTGGCCTACTCCAGTGAAGAAAAAGCCGAAGCATTCGCCGATTCGCTAGAATCCGAATGCAGACTCAATTACCATGAAGACGAGGACGACAACCACGAGGAGGCAGTGGAAGTCGCAGCCGAAAACATGAGGAGTCGACCACCTGGCCAGGAGACGGATCACCCCTCCAGTCCAGAGGAAATCCGTCTGATCATCCGCAGGTTGAAGGTCAGAAAGGCGCCGGGAAGGGACGGCATCAACAATAGGATGCTGAAGAACCTTCCCACCAAAGGCATTGCTGCGCTCACCAACATCGCCAATGCCACTCTGAGACTTAACCACTTCCCGCGGCGGTGGCGGGAAGCCCAGGTTATAATGCTCACCAAGCCAGGCAAGGACCGGAAGTTGCCCCAGAACTACCGGCCCATCAGCCTGGTTTCCTCGGTGGGCAAAGTAGTCGAAAAGGCTATCGCCGTTCGACTAGAGAAGCAGGCAGAAGAACTGCAACTTCTCCCCCCAGAGCAATTCGGCTTCAGATCCTCCCACAACACGGAACTCCAAGCGCTACGACTGACGGAAAACATCACCAGCGGCTTCAATCTCCAGGAGGCAACCGGTCTCGTCCTGCTGGACGTGGAACGAGCCTTCGACCGAGTTTGGCACGATGGACTCATCGCCAAAATGGAAGCCGCCGGAATCGATGCGAACATGTGCCAACTGATCCAGAGCTATCTAACACAAAGATGGTTCACGGTGAAGATTGGTACATGCCATTCAACAAGACGTCAGCTGGAAGCAGGCGTGCCCCAGGGGTCAGCCTTAGCCCCCCTGCTCTACAACATCTATACTTACGATGTGCCGAAGACAGCTGACACAATGCTGGCCCTATATGCAGACGACACTGCTATAGCCGCCAAGCATAGACGACCCGAGATCATCCGTAGGAGACTACAGGGTGAACTGGACCAAATTCAGGACTGGTGCGTGAAATGGAAAATCCGCATCAACGTCCAGAAGACGCAGGCAATCTTCATTCAACGAAGAAGGATTGCAAGACCTCTCGAAGCATCCATCTTCGATGAAGATATCCAGTGGAGCGACAATGTCAAATATCTGGGGATCGTTTTTGACAAGTCCCTCACCTGGAAAGCGCACATAGAAGCTGTCATCGCAAAAACCAGAGCAGCCATGGCTCAACTCTATCCATTACTGGGTAGACACAGCCAGATGCCGCTAGCGACCAAGCTACGGCTGATCAAGGCCATCGCCAGACCTCAGCTCGCTTACGCCTCCGCGGTCTGGGGGTACGCTGCCCCCAGCTACCGCAAGCGACTTGCTGCTCTAGAGATGAAGCTACTCCGGATCGCCACCAATGCACCTTCCTACGTAAGGAACTCAACCTTGCGTAGAGACCTGCATTGGGATACCATCCACGAGTACATGAGGAAAAAAGCGGAGAAGACCTTCGAGAAAGCTCAGGACCACCCGAACGAGCAGCTACGATTCCTCATGGACTACGATCCGGACGAGAGGCCTCGCAACCGCAGAACCAGGTACCCCAGACCAAGGTCCCAGTTGGCACCCGCTAACTGGAACCTTGACTAGGAGACTAGGAGAATTTGCGGCTGCTCCCCCCCCCCCCCCCCCCCGGCGTGGATGCAGAGGACCAGGAACCACCGGGACCAGGACCCACCGGGACCAGGACCAACCAGGACCCGCCACGACCAGGACCCACCAGGACCAGGACCCTTCAGGACCAGGACCAGGAACAACATATTGGTAAGATGACTTGAAACTCTTGATTTTTCGAAAACAAGAGTTTCAAGAGAAACTAGCAGACCCTCTATCGATGATCGCTTAACGACATCGATAGAATGTGCGAGGTAAAGGGAACCAACCCGGCGTTTCCAGAGACTGAAACACATGAGGAGACGTTGTAGCAGACCGCAGGTCACGCACAACACATGGCCTACCGAGACGCTGATGAGTCGGGCCACGCGGAGGTTTAGGGTTTAGTGGGTATTAGGCGATCTCTTCAAGACCCTGGAGCCCCACACACGTCGTAGCTCGTGCTATGGTATGGTGCGTAAATGCATTCCCCCCTCGTTAAAAAAAAAAAAAAAAAAAAAAAAAAAAAAAAAATCACTAACATTGGATGAATATATTATAGAATCGGAAAAGTTACAGGTCTTCTTGATTCAAGTTTTGCTCTTGAGTAAACAGGATTTGCATCAAAATATATAGAAGTCATTACTTTTTTGCCTGTAGTTCTTAAGCATAGTATTAAGCAACTCAATATACTGCGTTTTCCAATTGCAATCATTCGGATATTCAAAAATTTAAGGTACATCTGCTTAAATGAACGCATCTTCTTAGTAACCTTGTTTACTAAAACTGGTCTCCTGATATCATCGAAAGTAGTCACTAGATTTACAACTTTCAAGTAGATGGCCAGATAGTGAAGCAATCATCAAGCTGCCCTGGTAGTTAATTTCAAGCCGTGGATATTGTGCTGTGTACGAGTATATTACGCAGCAAATATGATCAGTATGGGTACAAATTAACCTGCAATGTGTTCAAATATGACGGAGTAACCTGACACACAGTTAGAGAAACAGTGAATGCTTTGTGATGCAAAACGTTATTCAGCGACCGCCTTGTGCGGTGGGCATTTATGAGTAATCAATTTCATGAAAAACTCGCAACCTTCATTAGGGGATTAAATAAAAATGGGATCTACCTCATTTTGCTAGAACTCCATGTTTTCTCCACAGTCATATAAAAATATATATGTGGAAATTACTCTTTACTAACGTTTAAGCCTTTTTCAAGGCATTCCAAATGCATATTATATGTTCTGGTCCTCCATCTCAAGGAGGTACTGTTCAGTCATATTATTTTCTCACAAGAAAAACAACATGACACAATGCAGATGAAGCATTGATGGTCGCATAGTGCATAACACTCAAACGGTGTATGCAACAACGTCATTTGGCGTGTTCGGGGCGACGAGCGAGGATGACTTGTCTGGTATATCCAGGGCAGCAATCTTATGCTCTCTTGTCATTTTAGAGGGGCTGAACGTTTTTAAGAATGGAAATGCCTGGTCTAGGCAGCCCTGGGCACTGAACTTGCGTGGTGTCATCTTGAAATTGTAATGGTGGTACAGGACCTTTCCAACTGTTTTTGCTACACACTCTACAGAAGCGATAAAGACCAATGAACTGCCATCCGCAAGACAGATAAATATAAAATTCACTGTTATTGTCATTTTGATCTGTCTTTTTGAAAAGGCCACCGTGGCAGCCCAAACGTTTGTTCGAATTATATATTGTCTAGCTCTTGTTTAGGATGTTCAGCTCCGCTAAACAACATCAGACTTCTCCCACCTCTATTCCCTCATCTATTTGCAGTTAACTTTACTTTATGAACTGTGAGATGAGCATTTGGTTTAATTTAATTCTCTCATATTCCTTTATGCTTTGTGTTTCAAAAGCAATCCTCCGTACTCCGAAGACAAATTCAGCGACTGCCTTTATGGAGAAATATTAAAATGGAGTCGGTATACCTGCCATTTTGCACAGGAGTGGAAAACGCACTTTCGGCTAATTAAGTTTTCTTAATAACTGCGGTTGCTGCGGAATCTGTAGTGATAGAAGGCTTAAGAGCAGACTGCAGTTCATGTAATGTGCTTTGATCTATACTGGAGTATTTAGGTAAAAGGCAATAAAGTGAAACAATCTGAAAAGATTGATATGGAGTTTTCGAACTAAATAAATAGTATTATTACGACAGAATGGAAGTGAATGAGTATTGCAAACTTAAATGACCTTATAGACAGTCATTTTAAAGTGATTTTTTGTTGATGCTAAAACAGTTGCAAATCGAAAAGCATTGAAGTGTGATTTACTGGTTTTATATCCTGCAAAAGTAGATTAACTGCCTCGTTTCGTTGTTTTCATAATCTATTCACACTATTAAAAAAAACGCAGTAATTCAGAATTTTATATTATTTTCATATAATATATTCATATACGATCATACATACGCATTGCTAGCTCCAAGGTCTTATGATTTACTTCTTCCAGAAATTAAGAAAAACAATAATACAGTTAGATTCAGAATTGACTTAAGAAATGGATACTGTCATTCTTTCAGAATGCGATTGATGGTAGAATAAAGAACAGCTATCTAAAATAATGGGACAGCAAAATAAATGATTAGGACAAATCCAATCCTCGATTGAGAAATTAATAGATAAAATCGATGATTTGAGATGTACAAGAGGCACTTACCAGTCCATAATCTCATAAAGTCAATCACTGTATCGTTCCTTCAAATGTATTTTTTCTTTGTGTATGTTTATGTGTATCGTATCTCTGATAATAATTGAAACTCAGATTTAACTTATTCAGCAAACTCTTTTGTCTAATCATATTTTATTAATACCAGTTATTCTACAATATTACTTTTCATACGAGGGATGTCTTTTAAGTTTTGCATATAGAAACTTAGTAGGCCGCACGGATCGAATGTCAGTAATGAATCTTAACCTCATTCTTTAGTAAACTTAAATTCAAAGTTTCACAACAATAAGTGCAGTGTTCTCACTACAGTGAATTTTTAAGTGTCACCAAGTCGTTAGAAAAATGGAACTCAACCGAGAACATTTTAGCGGCATAATTTATTACAACTTTCAGAGGCAATTATCGCAACAAGAATTCCTTGCTGAGTTATTGTCTGTTTTCGGCAACGAAGCGTCACATGAGTCGACAATTTACCATTGGTATGGAGAATTCAAACGTAGACGGGTGAATCTCAACCACGATCCCAGTGTGGGTGCTCCAAAAAGGGCAGTGATCCAGGAAGACATCGATGCTGTGCGCAAACTCATCATTGAAGATAGACATGTGGCATATCGTGAGATTGAGGCGTCCTTGAAGATCTCAAAGACCTCAATTCAAAAAATCGTACATGAACAATTAGGAGTAATAATATTAGTTTTCCGTTGGATACCCCATGGTTAATTGGTGTCAAAAAACGCTTGACCGTTCCAATTCCGGAACCTCAGAAAATGTGTACAGCATTGTTAGTGGTGAAGAATCGTGGATTTACTGTTATAAACCAGAAAATAAATGAGTCGGCTGTTTGGGTGTTCCAAGGTGAAGGAAAGCCAACAAAAGTCATCCGTTCTCGAAGTGTTTCGAAAAAGATGGCCGCGACATTTTTGTCAAAAGCGGGTCATATTGCAACAATTCCTCTTAATGAGCAAATAACTGTTAATGCGGATTGGTATACCACCATTTGTTTGCCAAAAGTCAAAGGATCCAGTCGCCAAAAGAAGCAGTTGACGCATTCAAAGATGCCGTTTTGGATCTGCCAGCAAACGAGTGGAATAAGTGCTTCGGAAATTGGTTCGAGCGCATGCAGATGTGTATTAATCTTCGTGGAGAATACTTCGAAAAACAATAAAGTCATTTAGAACTACCTACCGTGTTGTTTTATTTCCATATGCAAAACTTAAAAGACATCCCTCGTATATGTTATACATATATTGCTAACTGGTTAGCTAGCAATGAGCACCCACGCACAACGAACTAAAGCAGTATGTTAAGGTAAAGGTAGAATATTTTCTTTCGGAGAAAAAGCGAATATTTATAAATGCTTATTCAGAAACAACAGAATTAATACATAAAAAAGTGAATAAGTAATAATACGTTATAAAAGGGTAAAAAGACAGTACATACAGAGAATAAAAGCAGCATATTTTGAAAACTACTACTTTTTTACTATGAAGAATTGATTTCCTGCTTTCATGCTCAGGAAATGTAGTTAATATTGAATATCTGGCAAAGCAAGAAATAAACTATTTTTATTATATCCCGTGATCTATGTTATAATTTGTAGCTATGATCATAAAATAAATGTATTCACGTCAAAATATAAAAAAGGCAGTAGATAAGTTGTGTCCACTTGTCTAACAAATATTAACCAGAGTAATTTTAATAGCTTATATTGTGTTTTTAGCCTACTTAGTTGTATCATTGAACTGAATATTTTTACTATCTCTTAAAGCACACATTGTGCTGGTAATATAAATTCAATTACTACTATTTTTTTTTGTTACAGATGAATCTGGAACTATCAAGAAGTGGCCACCCTGTGAGGAGGAGGCCTACCCCTATACCCGTAGCTCCCCCTAGGGTGCCAACTCCTATGCCATCGAACAACAACAATGCACTGCCAGGGTAAGTACTATACGCTAAAAGCCTAAATGTTTCCAAAATTAAAGGACGTGTCTATATGTAAAAATAAAATAAACAATATGGTGGTTCCATGCAACAGTGTATACCTTGGGGTTGTTCTAAATTGGTGGTCAAAGGTGACAATAAACATTTTCTTGTACTCAATTTTCCAACTAGGCTTTTTCGAAAATATGACTTGGGTAATTGTGTGGTTTTTTCGCAACCAACAGAGAGATTTTAATAAAAATCCATTTTTCCTGATACAATTCTGATCACCACGCATTGCAATTTTTGTTGACCAATGAACTGTTCTACAAAACAAAAGGATTCTTATTACCAAAGAACAAAAAATTTAAAAAAGGAGAAAATTACATTGGTGAGGTCGGATTATTTGTCCTAACTTTTTCCCATAATATATGATCATCTTGTTTGGTACAGTAAAACTGTTTGTGTATATTTTGTGACCTGAATTCAGTCATTCAGTATGATTAAATCGCAAATAAAAAAAACTTTTTTCGAAAACTGTTTATTTGCCATATACTGTATTTTATCAAATTTTGAAAGCAGCCTTATGATTTACTGTCGAAGAATCAAAGTATCACAGACTTTCATTGAAATCAGTTCATTTTTGGTTTCTAACTATCTTTTGAGGAGCTCACAAGAAATGTCTATTGACGGATCCCATTCTAACAGTACTGACATTTCATCTGGCGTGCCCTAAGGCTCCATCTTAGGTCCTTTATTTCTTATTAATTATGTTGCTGACATCTTGAACGATATTCAAAACTGTAAAGCTCAAGCATATGCTGATGACATGCATTTATTTTAGTTTTCCCTTTAGTAATACTCATATTGCCGAGCATACTGTTAATAATCAGTTGAAGAAAATCAAAACTCTTTCAAAGTCGTATAACTTGGGACATATTTCAACAAAATCTAAAGTATTATATTATGGTTGAAAATCTGCTACTTAATTAACTTATGGGAAAATAATATGACTCCAAATCGACGGTGCAATGCTTGAAGTTGGCGATTATTCTAGAAGGAGTCAAATTTTGCAAAATTTGGAAAATAGAAGATACATATTTAAGTTTGCATATAGAAACACAGTTAGCCGCGCGGATCGAACGTCAGTACTGATTCTTAACCTCACTCTTTAGTAAACTTAAATTCAAAGTTTCACAACAATACGTGTTCTCACTGCAGTGAATTTTTAAGTGTCACCAAGTCATTATAAAAATGGAACTCAACCAAGAACATTTTTGCGCCATAATTTATTACAACTTTCAGAGACAATTATCGCCTTGCTGAGTTACTGTCTGTTTTCGGCAACGAAGCGTCATATCAGTCGACAATTTCCCATTGGTATGGAGAATTCAATTATTAGTGGTGATGAATCGTGGATTTACTGTTATGAACCAGAAAATAAACGACAGTCGGCTGTTTGGGGAAAAGCCAACAAAAGTCATCCGTTCTCGAAGTGTTTCGAAAAAGATGGGCGCGGCATTTGTGTCAAAAGCAGGTCATATTGCGACAATTCCTCTTAGTGAGCAAAGAACTGTTACTGCGGATTGGTATACCACCAAGGCAGTATTTAACGGAAGAAAGCGTGGAATTATTGGACCATCCTCCATATAGTCCTAACGATTTCTTTACTTTCCAGAAAATTAAAAACAGACGTGGTGCGTGGTCAAAGGTTCCAGTCACCAGAAGAAGCAGTTGACGCATTTGATGTGTATTAATCTTCGTGGAGAATACTTCGAAAAATGATAAAGTCATTTAAAACTACCTACCGTGTTGTTTTATTTCCATATGCTAAACTTAAAAGACATCCCTCGTATCTTCATTTGAACTACTTTACTCATAAACCTTTCCAAGTCTGGTTAGATATTTCTTACCACCCTAGGTAGCGAAATATTCTAAAAACATGCTATATTACGACGTTTAGCGAATGTCTTCTGCTAAAGTAACGTCTAGTTGAACTGCAAACTCAATTTTCTAAACGAGACATGATTATTGCTTAACACGCAAACATGTTATTTTATCCAGTACACTCTATAGAAGTAAATTATAAAAACAGAGTAACCATGCCTTGGAGCTGTAGTATATTTGACATTAAATGCTACTGTCGAAATTTAAAAAAAATATTTTTGCGGCTGGGATAGTCAGCAGAGTAAAATTCCTTAATAATGAATCTCTAATACACACGCCGTTGGAAAACAAGCTGCAAAACCATCAGCTTGTTGTCTAACAAAACAAAACAGAGCAAACTGTAATTTAACATGAATATTCCAACAAGTTGTTACCTTATATCGGTAAACTGCTCCAAGGCATTTCTCGTAGAGGCATTCAGGGCTTGTTGCAGACCGAAGAGAGGATCCAGGTTCGTATTGTTCTGGAATTATGGACCTTCAGCAATTTTAGATCTGATTCGTGCGTTTCAGAATTAGGTCGTTACGCCTTCAAGTAATTTCATCTAGACTGGTGGTGTAGTCAAGTGGTAGTGCCGATTTTATCTTTGTCTTTTATTGAAACATGAGCACCCCACTTCAGGAGCCTAGCCATCACTATGACCACCAGATGCCACCAGATACAGTCGGCTATATCTGCCAGAATCGTCAGCATCTAGAGGTCACAGAACCAACTCAAATTTCGATGCGCGCAGTGGTCGATTCTGGTAATAGATGGCACTATCTTCCGCCTATGGATAAATTAACCAGCATATAGGGGTTTATTTTATATAATAGTTGGCTGTAGGCTCTCGGCCCATTAGACAGAGGGGCATGAAATGCATTTGACATTTTAAAGTCCAAAATTGAGGTGACCCTTGCATAAGTGGACAAACAAGAACAGGGCTCATAACTTTTCCTTCTACCTGTTGACTTGGAAAACCTTAAATAAAAGCATGCAACTTTAAAACGCACTCCGGATCTGAAGTCTACGCATGATGCACGAGTATAGAATATCTCTCCGGTATGCGCCTCTAGGAATTCTAGGAAACATCAAAGGAGCGGGGAAAAATTCTCGGAAGATGTATCTACTTTAATTGAATGTTGAATTTATGATAGCATACCCGAGATGTGTGTTCATTATTCTGAATTTTTCCTACATTCTCCACACGTGCGCTGAAGAGCACTTCCTTTTCGCACGCTCCCTCCAATTTGTCAAGTTGTTTAATTGCAATCGCGCTCTGCCATGAGAAATGATTTGACAAATGCATTTAAAACTATTAAAAATTGTAATCCCATCAGACGCTTTTACTTTCCATACGTGCTGTGGTGAAAAATTCCGAAAATGAGGTATTTCTTTTTTGAGTGTATGAGAAAAACCAGTGGACTACTTCCGTCGGTCTGTTGGTCTGCCTGTCTGTTCGCTAATCCTACAAGGTCACCCCTATGCCAAGAACGAAAGTGAATTTTTGAAAATTGGTTCAATGACGGCGGATCTAAGGAAAAAAGAACCCCGTTTTTTGAAATATTCAAGATCATCTGGATCATTTTCCGAAAAAAATTCGTAACGGTTAAGAATTAGGGGTTGGGAGGGCATCACAGTTTCTCCGGTGAGCGTCATGCCGTCACTGCCGTGCTGCCGAGGCTGCCGAGTAGATCCATCGAGCGGTTAGGCATGGGGGAGGGGCGACGTTGCCAGATGGACAATCAATATCTATTTACTAATCATATAATCCTGTTCGACTGACTTAATCCTTTAATTGCTCTGTTATACATGCTCGTAGCTATTTTTGTTCTACATCCTTCATGGGCTGATGATAGCGTTGCTTGGGAAGTGCAGAGTCCACCTACTTGACGCCATTTTTTTATCACCACATGCCTCTTTTTTGTTCGATGCGACGGTATTCTTACATTACATAGAAAAAATATCGCAAATATGAGCTTTTCTGAACCTTAAGGTAATCTCTTGCCAGTTCCATCGCCTAGTCGTCCTTACTTTTGACACAATGTATGTAAGTAATCCAGTAGCAAATCGTAAAAAAAGAAAATAAATCTCTGAGAGGATCAGAAGTTAAATAAAAGTTTTTGTTGCCATAAAACTTGGTCTATATATAGAATGACATTCACGTCGAGGCCGGATGTCACATCGCTCATAACGCTGATGTCTCAAGGGAGAACTAACAGATTCTAATATCTACCTCCCGAAAAGGTTACATGAAGTAAAAGTTTTTACGATGTCCTTCCGCCGTACGGCGACAGCGATTCATAAACCACGTCCGGAACGGTACTTCTGACCACTAGCTAGAGATGGGCGAAAACGAATTATGAGAGGACGGATATTCGCTGAACTATATTCATTTCTACTTGGTAAGGAGTCTGAATGGAAATAGGCATAATTAAATTATCAGGAGATCAATACTCGCATGACTATATTTGTTCTTTTCAAATATGAAGTTTAACAATTTATTGGTAATTGTTGGACTCTATCCATTTCAATTATTGTGCAAATTTTCCCCATGTCCTTCCGCAGCACATCAGCCTGTTAATCCGCGTCCTGAATGTCACCTTTGATAGTTGGCTAAACGTTGACAATAATAATTGTAAAGAGAGCAATATTCGTTGGACTGTATTCCGCATTCACTCTTTTTCAACTAAAGGCAAAAGTCTCACGATATCCTCCTGTTACATAGCAGTAAGAGTTTTATAACTCACGTGTGGAGCGTTACTTTTGGCCACTGTCTAGAGATGGGCGAAAACGAATTATGAAAAGGCCGATATTCGCTGAACTCATTTCTTCATAATATAGAATCAATTGTTTACAATATCCTCCCGCTGCGCTTCATGGACTGTTACGTAAGGCACATCCAAAACAGTGAGTCTGACCACTGGATAGAGATGGGCACACACGCAATAAAAGGAGATGAGCATTCTTTTTAAATATATAAATAATGTTCGATATTCTTACACCGCATGCCAACCACCGTTCCATAATTTACGCCTGGAACGACACTTTTGGCCACTGATGAGGGCAAACGAATTCTGCGACAGGGGCGG